AAAGGCATCACTACAAACTCATACAGACCATATCTAGTCTGAAAAGTTGTCTTGTGTTGGTCCTCAGGTCTTATTGCGATCTGATGATATCCGGATTTCAAGTCTATCTTCGTATAGTACTTGCATCCATGCACTCTATCCAATAGGTCGTCTATGCGGGGTAGAGGCTCTGCGTTTTTCACCGTGATGGCATTGAGGCCCCTATAATCAATGCACATCCTCAAAGTACCCCCCTTCTTTGGTACAAATAGCACAGGTGATCCGTAAGGGGAAGTACTCGGCCGAATCCATCCCTTCTCTGTCAGCTCCTCAAGTTGCTTCCGAAGTTCATCTAACTCGGCAGGGGCCATCCTATAGATCCTTCCCTTTGGGGTCTTACTCCCTGGAATAATTTATATAGCGTGGACGACTTCCCTATCAACAGCTCTTGTGGGCTCCTCGAACAGATCAGGGAACTTAGCAACGACACGTTCTATCTACGGGGGTGTTTTAACGGCCTCCCCCTTCTCAGAGACATAAACAAGGTACACACCTTCCTCTTGGTTTTGCTTATAGTAATTGTAGAACGCAGATGCGCACAAGCAGCCATAGGTATCTATAATACTACTGGCCTTGAACTTAGTCATTCTGACAATTCGGCCATCGGGCAACTTCTGTTTGAGCACCTTCTTATCCCAGTCAAACTGGGGCTTAGTAATATCGAGGTAGTACATGCCTAGCAATATGTCAAATGGGAAGTCGTTACTAACCAAGAACGAGATCTTATGGTTAAGCTCACCTCCTCCGTAGGAGAAGGTACAAACTACGTCCTTGAGGTAGTCTGTGACAATCATGCGCTCTTTGTTGGCCAAAGTAGATGCTACTGGTATACTAAGGTGTCGTACCCGGTCCTGTAGGTGCAGCCTTTCCAAACAGTCACGACTTATGTAATTTCGCGTGGAGCCTGTGTCTATGAAGGCACCACATTTGCGGCCTCCTACATCCACTTCCACAACGAAATGTTCCCCTCTAGGACCCTTCTTTAACGCCACCCAAGACTCGCGAGGATCCTTGTTTGACCATTCGCCTTCTAAGTTTTCTAAGGCCTCAGACACATCTAACGTACAGAGCATAGTTTGGTCTAGATACGTCTGCGGGGTAGCTAAGGAGTCATTAGCTTCGGCCTTGTCAGGAAGTGAGGGGGGTATCATTCCCACTTCATCTTGAGTAGAAGCCGCTAATACTTCCACCGGCCCTACGCGTTTCCCGAGCTTGATGCCTGGGAATAAGTTGCCCCAACCTTGGGTGCAACCTTTTGCGTAACCTTCGCGTTCTGACACTTCCACTGCGTGTGTCCRTATTCACCGCAGTTGATGCAAGCGCCACGCGATCGGCGGTCACGCCACACGTCCTGTTCAAGACCTGCCTTTGCCCACTCAGTCTGTTTGGTCTGATTGGAGGCGGCCTTTCCTTGACTCCTAGGTTGGCCCTTACCTCGGCCACTTGCCTTAGTCTTTACCATCGCGGCGAGGGTGCTACCCTTAGCTACCTCCTCGCCGTCACACTCTGAATAGTCCACCAGGTCAGAGAGCTCGTCGATTTCAGTTTGGGTCCCAT